ATATTTCTTTTATGATTGTTCTTCGTTTTTGAAAAACTTTAACGCTTTATTTTTTTTTTGTAGTAAATCGTGGTACAACCCTCTCTCAACTCTTTAACTTCAAAACACGAACCTTGACAAGCAAGGCCGCTGCGCGGAGAAATTAAGTTGAGCGCGATACTTCCAGGGACGCGGTGGGAGTCGAACTCGAATTTATATTTTATAAAAGTATTTTATTTTAAATAAGCAAATTCTAAATAAAATATTTTAATTTTTTTTTGTAAGGGTTTATATAAAATGTCTCATAATTTATACAAACACTTATCTTCAAAACAACTCTGAAAAAATTGTTGGCAGAAAACTCTGTCATGAATGGTATGATACTGACTCATCAAAGTCTATCATTTATGATGGTAGACTAGAAAAAGTAAGCAAAAGATAAAATGATAGAATTTACACTATTTCTTACTAGAAACAAGATGAAACTGATATTGAAGCTGTTGAGCATAAGATGAAAAAAATCCAGATAGCTGCTAATGTTGTATTAGCATGTTGTTAATATTTTCTTAGTTTGAATATAAAATAATGCAAAAATGCTTAAAAAAAAAGTTCTGCAAGTTTTGTGGCTTGCAAACAAGTACTTCAAGGTTTGTGGATTGCAAATAGATACAGCATGTTTTGTGGTTTGCAAACAAGTACAACTAGTTTTGTGGCTTGCAATTAGGTAAAGCAAGTTTTGTGGCTTGAACATAGGTACACCAAGTTTTGTGGCTTGCAAATAGGTACAGCAAGTTTTGTGGCTTGCAATTTTTTTTTTAATAGATGGCTCTGGCTTACCTTCACATGTTGTCTATCATTAAAAATGATTTATTTAGTTCATAAATGGAATTCAAAACATAAATCATTTACTAAAAGCCAAGACAATAGTTAATTACTTTTTTTATTTCAAAAGACTTGCTGCTTTGTTTTTTTTTTTAGGTTGGAGTTCAACAACAAACTTGCTTTATCTAATGGCAAGCCACAAAACTTGTTGTACTTGTTTGCAAGCCACAAAACTTGCTGTATCTATTTGCAGTCTTGTAACATAGTAAAACAGTTTTTTATACTATTTTATATGTGTTTAAAAAGCATTTTTAAACTTTTTTTGTTAAATTCTAATTAAAACTTTTTTTTAGGTATTGGACGGAAGGGGGCGGCTTAAACCCCCTTTCATGAAGGCAATTTATACACCACTGTAACGTGGTAAAATAGTTTTTTATACTATTTTGTATGTGTTTAAAAAGCATTTTTAAACATATTTTGTTAAATTATCATTAAAACTTTTTTTTAGGTATTGGGCGGAAGGGCACGGCTTACACCCCCTTCCATGAAGTCAATTTATACACCACTAGTTACTATATTTCAAAGTATCGAAATATATTTTTAATTTTTTATACTAAAATTAATTGTTTTAGTAAAGATTGAAATATTTAAAATAATGAAATTTTGATAGGGTGTGTTAAACCTTATTCAAAAACCAACACCCGACTTTGAGATAGACTTCTAATATTCACTAGTGATCAGTGGCGGACTGGCCCACCGGCCCAGTCCGCCACTGATCACTAGTATATATATATATATATATATATATATATATATATATATATATATATATATATATATATATATATATATATATATATATATATATATATATATATATATATATATATATATATATATATATATATATATATATATATATATATATATATATATATATATATAGTATATATATATATATATATATATATATATATATATATATATATATATATATATATATATATATATATATATATAGTATATATATTAGGTAATATATATATATATATATATATATATATATATATATATATATATATATATATATATATATATATATACATATATATAGTATAAATATTAGGTTATATATATATATATATATATATATATATATATATGGTATAAATATTAGGTTATATATATATATATATATATATATATATATATATATATATATATATATATATATATATATATATATAATTATTACAATTAATTATAAAGTTAAACTATTTTTAATTTCTTGTATATACTATTCAACTCTATTAAGTGCGAAATTCTCTAAAGAAATAGTTTTACTGTAAAACTAATTTCATGTGAAACTCTCCTTTGACAATCAATATTGATCGTAAAACTTTACAATCGTTATTGATTGTCGAAGAAGAGTTTTACATATAATTGTCATAAGGGAATTGCTAAGGTTTTGCAATTGTTAATGGTTTTCAGATACAAATATAATCTATGATTTTCCTAAGGGAATTGACTTTGTAACTATTATTGCTATTGCGGTGCTTGAATTAATTAAAAAATGAATTAAATATTCTTTTCAAAATTAAAAAAATTATAGTTCAACACAAAAACACACTTGATCAACTAGTTTACTGAAGCGATGTTAGTCTTCTTTTGAGGTTGGTATTTTAGTTTGTATAAAATTTATTATCTTTTTTTAATCTAAAACTTTTAGTTAACTTCCGCGCTCGAAATAATTATTTAAAGGTGATCATTGATCATACTAATCGGCTGAAGTGATAAGATTTGAAAGGTAGAGGATTAAATAAATTTCCGGATGATCAAGTTTTCTGTAACTTTTTATAAGCATTACTTTTTATGTAACACATAAATAACACTTTTTGTGTTAGTCAGCTTAAAGTTCCTCAGCGTAGTTTAACTATGCTGGTTTAAGTTTTTTTAATTTGCCCTATTAGGGCAAATTAGTAAAACTTAAATCGGAAATTTTAGCAAAATCCTAAACTTTGACAATGTATACTTAGGATGAGATAAAATACATGAAAAGGTATTTTTTAATACAGCTACTTCTGTTTGTGTTGAAAGAAAAAAATATGTATATATCTTTTTTGCTTAAACAGAATTTTTGGTTTTTATTAAGTCTATATTTGAAATTCTTTAGGATTTCGTTCTGTCGCTTCAAATTGTTAAAAAATTATAAACAAAATTTAAAAATTCATAAATTTAAACATGACTATAGATCAAGAGAGTAAGAACTGTTATAAAATGTCTAATCCAAATTATTTCTTAAAAACATGTTCTTTTTTCATTAATAATCGTAATGTTCTTCACCTATCAAGTTAAAGTACTAAAAAAAAGGATAAGTTGGTAGTTGCTACTCTTTTTCTTCTATTTCCTTCAAGGAATACAATAGAAAATTCATCTATAATGAATTTTCTAATGTTTAAATGCAATAGTTTAAATAATTCCAGCAGTAAGCAAAGTCATAATATAAAAGAAAAATACAAGAATTTCACAGATCTGGAAATTATAGCTATAGTTAAGATTCTAAAATATACCGGAATTAGTGCCGTGGCTAAGGAGTCATTGCCCCCCTTTCTTTACCAAAAATCTGTCATTAGTTGCCTGTCTTTATTTGAGTTTTAATATGTTTGATTTGCAATTTTTGCCGTTCAAACAAATTTGATCGGACAAAATTTATTTGGGGAGGTCTAAATATCATTTTTTCTAAAAAGAGACGATCTTTATTTTTGCCTAATTTTTTAAATGTTAAAATCTTAACTCAGGTCACTATCATCATGTCAAAATCTGGAGCACAAAAGCGCAAAGAAAAACTACAGACAGAGAGGCAATATTGAGTTGAATGTACAAATTACATCAGAGATAATTAAAGCACGAGGTGGTAAAGATCTTGAGTCGAAATTTACAGAGTACATCAGGAATTATACAAGCAAATGATAGTCGAGATATTGAGTTGAATTTGAAGAGTACTTCAGCAATAATACTAGCGCGAGGTGGTGGAGATATTGAATCACATTCGCAGAGTACATCTGCAATAATACTAGCACTAGGTAGTCGAGATCTTGAGTCAAATTTACAGAATACATCAGCAATAATACCAGCACGAGGTGGTGGAGATATTGAGTTGAATTCACAGAGTACATCAGCAATAATACAAGCACTAGGTAGTCGAGATCTTGAGTCAAGTTTACAGAGTACATCAGGAGTTATACAAGCAAAAGGTAGTCGAGATATTGAGTCGAATTTGAAGAGTACATCAGCAATAATACAAGCTCGAGGTGGTGGAAATATTGCGTCGAATTCGCAGAGTACATCAGCATTTGAATATCCACCACGTTTGCAGTTTAAATGTTTTTTTAGCAAACATCTAATTCAACCACATGAACATTTGCCGTTTGATAACAAGATCTACCATAGACAAACGGACTTGAAGGATAGCATACCGAGAAATTGGTTGTCATTTAGCCAAAATTCTCAGTCTCTATATTGCTCAATTTGTGTTGCATTTGAATCACCACAGTCTAACACCGTTTCATCATTTGTGTATGGCTTCAAAGATTTTAGACGAGTTAGCCAACGGGTTGCAGAACACGAATCAAGCAGCACTCACCGCAGGCATGTTCATGATTACATTCGTATAATGAATAATCAAGACTTTGACAGATTTTATAGTACAGCAATATAGAAATATAATGATGAAGTACTGATACGGAAACAAATACTTTCTCGAGTTATTGATATCATTAAACATTTATGTAAGCAAACATTGCCATTTCGAGGTCATAGAAATGAAGGTGCTTATTCGTTGGACAATGATGAAGAAAATCATGGAAATTTTTTGGCCTTGGTACAGCTCTTGGCCAAATATGACCCACTTTTAGCTTCTCATCTCTCCATGTGTCAAGAGAAATCAACCAAAAGAATAGAAAAACTGAAGCGTCAAGGTAAAGCCGGCAGTAAAGGTCGCGGCGCTCTGGTTACGTTTTTAAGTAAGACTACTATATCAAAGCTGCTCAATATTATGAAAAATATGATGCAGGAACAGATTGCAATGGAAGTATCCAAAGCAAAAGTGTACTCCGTACAAGTTGATTCTACACAAGATATATCTGCAATTGACCAATTCAGCATTGTGGTTCGCTATGTTTTAAATGCTACTGTGCATG